TGTATGACGAGCTTCACAGAATTCTAAATATTCACCGCTGAAACAGACTGCTCTAGCATGGCTCCAAAAAAAAAACAAAAAAAAACTATGGCAAGTGGCCACCCCAGACCAGACAGCAGGACCGGTTTGGGTGTGGGCTATGGAGACACCACATCCAATTTTCGCAGTCACAGTTGCTGCATCGAATGGCACGACGCAGACAGATGTCACAGGCTACGTGGCTCCTGTATGCTAGGAACACAGAGGCACGTCGACCGCAATTATAGAGGCATTGCCGTTCCAGCCCCTGTCTGCAAATTGGACATGACATGTCGTGTGTGTGTGTGTTTTAGATTTTCCCCACAACAGCCCCAATTCCACCCAGGTGAATAGATTCAGAATCAAAGCAGTCTTTGTCCTATTGCAGACAACGAGAGCATTTGAGATGTCCAACATATTAAAGCAATTTTATAATTACACAGTTTTTTGGTTGTCCTTGGGGTACCCCTTTCATTGTTCTTGCAGCTCCCCTTTTACTGTGTGTAATGAACCCAGTCTTGGCAGATACTAGGAAGTCGTCAAATATCAGTAGTCTCAATATCTGCATCAAAGTCTCCAAATTGTGAGGTGATAACTCAAACAGTATCTCATTACCATCAAAAGGAAGAGAGTGGAGGGGGAACAGACAAAGGAGAAGATGAGAGATCACACAGTAATAGTCTCTTCAGATCCCTCACCTTCTTCAGGCTTCTTCCCTCTCCACGTCAACAATGATCATAAGTATAATCCTGATCACACACAATAGTGCCACGTGGCACTTAATCTCGTGAAGACCATGAAGACATAGCAGATTCCAGTGACGACGTCAACCTCAGGTGAGTACCCGACCTCCTTCATCCACAGCTCCCGATCTTCCTCCTCCTTGCAACCAGTCACCTCATGTAGACAGCGTGGACAATGCCCCGTCAGCATTCGAGACAAGTGGCATACACCACATCTTCAAAGAAGACCAGTAGCAGCGCCACATCATACGATGTAGACCAAAGGCAGCGCCACATCAGCATGCCACGTGGACCAAAGGCAGTGCCACATAAACCAGAGGCAGCGCCACATCAGCATGCCACATAGACCAAAAGGCAGCGCCACATAAACCTGCGGCAGCGCCACATCAGCATGCCACGTAGATCAAAGGCAGCGCCACATAAACCAGAGGCAGCGCCACATCAGCATGCCACGTAGATCAAAGGCAGCACCACATAAACCAGAGGCAGCGCCACATCAGCATGCCACGTAGATCAAGGGCAGCGCCACATAGACCAGAGGCAACGCCACATCAGCATAGCCTGGCACACTGAGGAAGCGCCAGCATGCTGCCTCCACCTCGTGCTGTCGCCCGCAGTGCCTGTGCACATCCAGCATGTAGCCAGCGTCGCGCCAGCATGAAACCAGCGTCTATTCAAAGTCGAGCCAGCGTCAAAGCAGCATAGCAAGACTGAATGCTTGACTCACTCGAGGCCAGTCTTACGTAGCCATCGTCGAGGCTGTCTGGCCTCGGGTGCCTTTCCCACAGTCGTCCAGATTGACTCACAGCTGAAGGCCCGGATTGTACAGTTGCAGACTTCTCCCTTGGACCTGATGCTGTCTGGGTACCTGCATACAAACAAGTGTGTGTGCTTGACCAGCGGCCTGGGCTAGGTACCTTTGGACTTTGACTGTTGGAATTTTCGACAGTTGACCAAAGTCAACTGCCTCACGACCAGGCCCGAGTCCTTATGTGGGGTCGTGTGCCCCTGTTTGGCTTGGGCTGAGGGCGGTCGCATTAGCCCTCAGTATCCACGAGACATATGGCATGGGTTAATGTATGTGCCTCTTACGCACAAGGCTGCCCATGTTGATTGTGGTTGAGCGGCAGCTGCCCACATCCCCATGTGCCTTCATGGCCCGCTTGCACGTTATTTTAGGAGGCAGAGTAAAAGGGAAGGTATGCTCCTGTGCATCTCTTCCGAGTTCATTTCACTTCAGATCTTCAGCTTATACAGTCTTTGTGTCCGTCCTTCATCTTCATACTTTCGTTCATTTCATTTCTGATCTTCATATCGTCTATACTCTTAATGATGCTCATTCGTATGTATTTGTTGGTAGTACGAGGGGAGTGGAGGGGAGGGTGGAGGGTAAGGGGTAGAAGGCGGAGTTCTCTAGGAGTATGAGGCAGGGGAGGTAGGGGCAAAGGGAGGGCAGGATAGAGTACGACATGCAAAGAGCAGGGGAAAGGTGTATGACGGGTTTCACAGATTTCTAAATATTCACCGCTGAACTATGGTGAGTGGCCAACCCTACAGACCGGACAGTACCGGTTCGGGTGTGGGCTATGGAAGCACCGCATCCAATTTTCGCAGTCACAGTTGCTGCATCGAATGGCACGGCGCAGACAGATGTCACAGGCTATGTGGCTCGTACATGCTAGGAACACAGAGGCACGTCGACCGCAATTATAGAGGCATTGCCGTTCCAGCCCCTGTCTACAAATTGGACATGACATGTCGGGGTGCCGTACATGAGTACAGTACTGACTGTCATCGTACGTGTGGAAGCAAAAACTCGCATGGACTGTACCTTCATAATCCTCACGGCACTCGGCATGTGAACCACATGCTAGTTGAATCTCCGGCGGGTCATCACAAAACGGCATGGAGCATCTTTCTTGGGCTTCCTCAGTATGTATTCCTTCTCTATGGGCAGATGACGACAGGGAGGATTGGTCCAACGCAAGGACATTCAGATGCTGCAGGATATGATCCACAACAGCTCGCCCTGGTGGTGATAAACTAGGAGCACATCGCTCTGCCGGTGGTTCATATAGAAGTCTATTTTCCTCCTCGGACTGCTGTGTTTGTCGTTCGTCTGGCATGAAAGAGGGAGATCCGTCAGCGGTTGCCGTAGGTGTATGACCAATACCGCATGTGGGACATGCTAGGAGAGGATGTGGAGGGTGATGGCATGGGGGATAGTCCACACAGTACAGACACATACTTTCTATGACAGCTTCCTGGAAGCATTGATGACACATGGCATGTTGTGTGTGTGTGTGTGTGTGTGTTTTCATATTCGCTATACACTAAAAAAAAGCATGACTGTACCAGACTGTTTCGTCGGACTTTCACTGACTCGTCAGGAGGTTGAACCCTGACAGTCTGCCCAGGATGTATTTGACTGATGGATAAGGACTCACCACATCGCCCGGAGTTAGCAATACCCCTGAGAAAAGTGGTCGACTTTACTCACACCAACCTTGCAATCCTAGCAGACTGCCGGTCCAAACCCCTGACAAGAACGGTAGTAAGTGTGTGTGTGTGTGTGTGTGTGTGTGTGTTGTTAAAGCACCCCAAATTCTCTCTCTCATTCCTCCACAAGTCATAACAAACCATTCATAACCAAAAAAGTATAGATAGCAATATAATAGAAAATGCAAGGTTGGCCCCATTTGTGTGGTTCAGCGCCAAGTGCCCACACACCCGTCTGCCGCCAAAGCGGCACACTTGCACATATACATATATACATATATTTATTTTATCCATAAAAGGGTGGAGGGCAAGAAGCAACTTACCTGAGACAGAGGACTCCACCAGCAAGAAAGCACCGACCCCATCTGCCATAAGTCCGGAAAAACTTGGAGAGCCCTCCACATCGGCCCACAAAACCACAAAACAGCATAACACAAAAGGCTCCACTAACAAAAAAGCACCGACCACACATGCCAATGGTCTAAAAAAGAATTAGCGCCCTCGGCGCCAGCCTACAACGCCACCACAAATAAAAAATACACCACAGGACCTGTACGCAACAACAAGAGTGCCATGAACCTCCCCCTGCCGCGCACCCTGCAGAATAGGATGATGTCCCAGTGCTACAGCAAGGCCACTGCGAGTACTATGCCAAATTCCACAAGATCTCCACGCGACACCAGGAGCAGTACTGCTGAAAACACCCCATTCTTCCATGTGCTCCGCAAGATCAGCCCGCGGGAATGACACCCACAGCAAACACTCTCTGAGCCTCCTCACAGAGATATTGTGGCCAGAACCCCACACTCCACCCCAGAAAAAACTAGTGGCCACCCACAGATATTACTTCATCAACAAGACAGCCCATGCTGCAAAGCAGGGCTGTGTGTGTATGTGTGTGTGTGTGTGTGTGTGTGTGTGTGTGTGTGTGTGTGTGTGTGTGTGTGTGTGTGTGTTCTTTTAAAAGACCCCAGATTCTCTTTCTCATTCTTGCCGGTGGAATAGGAACCGGACTGACGCTCCCTAGAATAGAAGGAGCCTTTGTTTAAAAAAAAAATCAAAAACAAAAAAAAACAAATCATCACAAGCCATCCATAACGAAAAAGCATAGATAGGCAATATAATAGAAAATGCAAGGTTGGCCACGTTTGTGTGGTTCAGCGCCAAGTGCCCACATGTGTGTGTGTGTGTGTGTGTTATAAGCTTCCCCCACAACAACCCCTATTCCAACCAGATGAGTAGAACCGGACTGAGTCCGCCCAACACTTAAAAAAAAAAATCTTTAACAGGCAGCACGAATCATAATAGAACCATTGTGTGTGTGTGTGTGTGTGTGTGTGTGTGTGTGTGTGTGTGTGTGTGTGTGTGTGTGAGAG